CACAGGGGAGGGGGTAATAGCTCCTTCTCCCATGTCTATTTAACTTTGATTAAACTAAATTTCTGGATGTTAGGGTTGCTTTTTCCGGATAAACATAGACACTCAAGTCACTCAAAGCAGGGCATGTAGGGCTGGGGATGTGGCTCAGTGGTAGAGTGCTCACTTAGTATGCATAAAGCATTGGGTTCAATCCTCAGCATCACATTTAAAATATTAAAAAAAAAAAGATATTTAAAAAAAAAATTTAAAAACAGGGCATGTAGCTTTCCTTGAACTTAATTAAACACACAGTACATATTTACTTGGAAAGGAGCTCTCCCCTTTAAAAACAAGCAAGTCCGATATCCAGGTCCCTGTCATTCACGGACTCTTCTGACAAACCTTTATTTTTTGCCTACCCTGTATAGGACACTGTGCCAGGGACTTTTTGAGTACAAATAGGCCTTATTTTGTTCACTCTGAGACTCAGATTCTTTTTGCATTTTAGCATGAAGGATGTTTTCTTTGTCAGTGATGCAAAACGAATAATGCATCTCATAATTAATGGGCATCCTACACTAGGTAAAATATGGCATAAGACAGACGCTGCTCTCAAGCAGCTTACAGATGTTGCTGTTACTGGGTTGGCAGCCAATTTTCCTCTTCTTAGGGAGGAAACTCGTTTAGTTTGGAAAGCCTAAACTCCTTTTTGCAAGACACAAACTGCCCTGCTGAATGAAACTACAAATAGCAGCACAGTCCAGATACCTTGAGAGAGGTGTGAGGCAGAGTGAGAACAGATCAGCAGAGGTGCAAGGACCTCAGAAAATATTTCTTCCAGGAAATATTCCAAATGCTAACTGTGAGAGCTGCTTTTCTTTTTCTTTCCTATTTGGCTAATATTAGTGTTGCCAAGTACAGTTTTTTTCTTTATGAGAAAACATATAAACCAAAAAAAAAAAAAAAGAGAGAGAGATACTCCCAGAAGGCAAGGAAAATTTCTGGGAATAAAGGAATATTTTTGTACTGCAAGAAACTATGGGGCTAAAGAATTGCCACCTGAATTCTTAAGCTCAAAAAACTCAAAAAGCCAAAAAAAAAAGAGGAAGTTCCAAACTATCTGTAGTGAAAGTACTAAATATCATCATGCAAATTTCTGCCAGAAATGCTTAAGGGTTTTTACAGGTACTGAAGAAAAAGCTCAGAAAAGTGGCCAGAAGCGAGGATCTTAACCTCACAGCATTTATAAATCATATCCTCACTTCCCTGAGATAAACTAACCTGAAGGAAAGATGGATATGGGCACTAAGATTATTTGTGTGGCAGCTCGCAAACTCTACATTGGCCTATTTAAGAGGCAAGAGGAGTACCCTGATGTCATACAGCAAGTAAAGCAGAGAGAACAAAAAACAGAAGAGTGCATCCTAATTTAAGCATAGCAGGCAGGCTGGCCGCCATGTTGAATTTAGAGACTTTGCACCACCTAACTTTTGGCTTCCCACATCTGGTGCTTGATCCAGGCTGATCCAGCTGCATTCCAAAGCATCAGCACACAAGCTTTTCTGCTGATGTTTTTCCCTGTTGGGGGAAAAAAATGTGCTCTGAACTGAGGGGGTACAATGCAGGGGTGGAGAGAAAAATGGCCAGGCAGACCCACCAGAGGGTTAAAAATGCATTGCCCAGGGGAAGGTAATGGGCTGGGTATGGTCAGCTCCACAGAGGTTGCCGGAGTCCAAGGATATGCAGGCAAATGTGTAAGGGTGAGTGCTGACCCAGAAGGAATGCAGCCCTTGCTTCCAGAGCTCACAGAGCCTTCTAGCAACCTATGTCTTCCCACCAGGAATGGCAGGACCACTTAATGCAAAGTTTGATCCCTGGAGTAGGGAGTCAAACATTCTTTTGCTTCTCTGTTGTGTGTCAGCTTGCATTGTCGAATGTCTTTGTTTCCTAACTGAATCCCATCAGCGTGGCTGACTGCCTCACTTATTTGAAATGAACTGAGCTAGGAAACAAGTTTCTCAACAAGGCTGTGTTCTCCAGAGTGCTAAGAAGGGCAGAGCTAAGCTCGGCTCCTACAGAGAGACAGTGGGGTGCTAGGGGTCCTATTTATTGTTTTATAAGAAAATTTTTTTAAAAAAGTCTTTCCTGCATCCAGGGTAAAAAAAAAATCCAGTATACACCATACTTGCGCTGTGCAGTACCTCAATGGCAAAGTTGAAACACTGTTCATCATTTCATAAGTGAGGAAGCCAGCACCATAGTGAACAAAAAGACTCCAGGTGGCAAAGTCAGATTCCTTATTTATCAAAGACGATGACTTGATAAGATGATCTCTAAGGTTCCAGAGGAACTCTATGAACCCAAGAAGAAAGTAAGCTCAGGGCTGAAGGAACACAATCCCAAATAGCTAATTACTCAGCTTCACCAAAATCGGATTGGTTATTAACAAAAAATACACCCTCCTTTCAGTAAGCAGTATGCCGGTGGCTTGTTGATTTAGTAGGTGCCTGCTGCAGGGTATAGCAGGTGAGTTACCCTTGTGCCCTCTAGACCTCTGCCCTACATTATGAAGTCAACCTTGCCCAACCAAATTCAAGGACTGCCTCTTCAGACCACGTTTAAGAATTCATCTAGTTCAACTAATAGCCACAAAGCCCCCAGAATTTTGAGGGACAACTGAAAGAATAGGGAGGAGACCCAATAATGATTTGAGGATATTGAGTTTCAGATCAAGATTCTGACCACAAAGACATGGATCTGCTTTTCTCAGCTCCTTAATGTTAACTTTGGCCTTGAGTTTCTGCAGCCCCAGGAACTTTAGAGCCTATGAGCTATAAATTAACTACCTTACTCTACAGCAAATCACTGACTAGTGTTTAGCCAGGAATTTTTTAAAAAGCTAAAATTTACATTTTAATTTATTCAAGGTGGATACTTTTGGATTACGGTGTCTAACATGGTGCTTTGTATTCAATAAATGTTGAATGAAGGGACACACGCATATAAATGATAGACACACTAAATTTTGAGTTTCTTAATGGGAAGACATCACCTGCCAGTCTGCCACACACTCAAATCCAAGGCCTTCTATCACTCTTCTCTGGGGTGCAGAAACTGATCAAATCATATGAACATAAACTAACCACTAATACATTACCTTTCAGAGTTTAATATGATTCCCTGGGCTTATAAAAGGCCAGGGGGCCAACGGCTAAATGTGAGTGTTATAATTTACCATATCTGAAGAGAATCAAATTTTGTTGATTCTCTTCAGATATTATAAAGCACATACCTTTAACTATCCCTCCTAAGAATACTTTGGGATCTCAGTCATATTCAAGCCCATTCTTCCTGTCCTGACCATGCAACTAAACACTACCTGTCAGGATTTCTAAGAGATTTTATTTGTGCCCTTGTTTCCTCAAAGTCCTTCAGGAAGGAACCAAATGTATCCTGTGGATGAAAATATTGTTGCTGCCAAGGTAGTGTAGAGCTGTATAGCAAGAGACTCACCAGCCTCAGCCCAGTTTGGGGTATCCCCTAATGAAGCAAGAGTATTACCATAAAGAAGTAAATACTACTACCATGGATTAGGTGGAAGGACATCAGACTTCACATGAAAAATTTCAGGTGCCCTCTATAATTTTATTTGAGTTCTTTTAAAATGGGAAAAAAGAAGATAGGGTATGACTCAAACACTGATAGCAAAAAGGACAGGAGACCAAATTTTTCCAAGAGGTGCCATCATTCTCCTCCAAGAACAGAGAAGCCAGGCAGAGGTTTGCTGTTGAAATAAAAACCACAATAAACATCCATTCTCCTGATGCTTTCTGTAGCAAACAGTTTGAATTTTCCAACTTCCATCTTCTGCAAAACTGCAAATACTCTGAAAATGTACCTGTTGTGATGCACAATTTCCTTTGACTTGTGTATGCACCCACATGGGTGTGAATTTCATTCAGACATGGCACTTCACTAGTACAAGACCTTTTTTGTATATGATAAAGTTTAATAAGTGGTAAGTTTGATTAATGAACACGAAGTGATTCTTGATGAACATGAAGACTCACATTACCTACCTTTATGCTTTTCCTGATAAGAATTCTGTAAGAAATCCAAATTCAGGAACACAATGCAGAGAAACACATTGTTCAGCATCAGGCTGAACCTGTCCTTCAGCAAACCCGGCCTGGCCCAAGCACGTCTCTGCATCCATTAAAGATAGAGCTAGAGAGACAAAGGGAGCTGGCCCTCCAAAAGGAAGCAATTCACATTTGCTTTTCCTAGAGAAAAGACTCCCAGATTGTTGAGAACTCAGGTCTCCTACCCTCAGACTGTGAGAAACCATCCCCGGAGTCCCCTGGGATCTGCTCCTTAGGCCACATCCTTCCAGCTCAGGGAGCCCTGGGTGCTGATTCAGAATGATTTGGAAAAGGGGAGAGAAATCGCACCACTGTGGGGATGTCAATGTACTTTACCTGGAAGAACATGACTGGGATTCTCCTCTGAACCCCCCTACCTCCCCCAGCATTGAAATTTCCCCCTCCTGGGAAGGTACCCTGCAGTCAGCCATTTAAACCCTATGTAGAGTAGTGCTGACATCTAGGGGTGAATATAAAAAAAAGAGTCATCCAGACCGAGCCCAGCAGGCTGCCCACTGGAGCAGGTGAGAGGGGGCTGTGCCTCCTTGTAGCTTGCCAAGGTTGGTGTGTTCCCAGACTCCTCTCCACCTATCCCCACATCTGCCACCCTGTGCTACTAGAGAAGGTCTCCCCAGACCTATACCATGACACCTCCCTGTGCAGAAAAGCAGAAACAGTTTGACTTTAAGAGAAACTGCTCCGTTCCTGCCCTAGCCTGTCTTCTATCTACCTGAGAAAGTAGCCATCTGGAGAAGATGGAGGTAGAGAATGTCAAACTCCAACAAAAACCCTCACAGGCTCTCTGATCAGGAGACACAGGCCAGGAAAAGGCAGGGGATTCCAACCCGCCACCCCAGACTGCCAGGAACACTTTCTTACCAAACTCGCTTGCACAGAGATGTTCAATGATGGCCTCAGATTTCAACTCATTGTCACATGGAGGACACACAGTTGTACCTAAGAAGGGAAAGGGGAAGAAACAGAAAGCTATAAGTTATGAAAAGAAAACAACCCCTGGGGAAGAAATGGGCCTGGGACCAGGCTGAAAATGGTTCAAGGTCTTCTGGAATTTGTAAAGGATGATCTGAGAATAGAAAAGAAAGGCTCTTGAGCCCAGAATCTAGAGCCACAAACAATCCAATAGTTTCTTGAAACATTTTGGCCTAGAGGAGCTGAATATGACACATTATTTAAGGTGTCTGAGGTAGATGGAGGCAGGTCCTGTGAATCATGACTTAGGGGCTATTGCGAGTCCCTGGGAAAAGCTTGCTTATAAACGAAAATAGATCTAGTCCATTGTTTCCTGTCCTTTGCCCTCTCCCTTTTAGGCCCCTCTGATTTCTGCCCCCCACCACCACCATTTGCACACTCCCAACAAGACAACCTATCAATTTGAGACCAGCTCTCTAGAAGCCAAGAGAAAAAGGAGTCAAACTTACTAACTTCAACCCTAGGGCCCTGAAAACCCCTCTCCAAAAAGGTCACTTCAGTAAAAGTTAAAGTCTGAGCAGGAAGCAGAGCAGCTGGGTGGGGGTGGGGAGACACTAGTGAGGGCCGCCAAATGGGAAAATGGAGCTGGCTGGGGAGGGACCCCTTGAAGACTCTTTCATGAGCCACTGCAAAGTGCTTTGAAGAAGTGTGTGTGTGTGTGTGTGTGTGTGTGTGTGCACGCACGCACGCACGTGCATGCATACCACTAGGAAGGAGCTAGGCCCCAGGAGAAGAAAATTCTGAGACCAGGGCCAGAGGCTTTCTCCAAGTCAAAATGCTGTCAAAGCTGGGATCCCCCTCTGTGGAAGGGCAGAGAAAGCACTCCAATGGAATCCTCCAAAGGATGAAGTGACTTATCATTCCTGCCATGGCCATCATTATCTATCAAACAATGTGAAGTTTATGGAGGATCTAGGAGCACTAGCATATTCTGAGGACAGTCCACTCCTTTCCCTCTCATTGCACAGGAGGTCCAAGCTGTGCTACAGAGCACAAGAAGGTCACCTTGAGACTGAAGCCAAGGGAGATGGAAGACCAAGTAGGGTTTCGTGTGCTGAGCATCTCTACCCTTTGTCTTCCTTCCCCATTCCCTTCTCCAGTGGTTTCTGTAGCAGCATCTCTTTCCCCTAAGAGACTCCCCATGTCTCTTGACAGCAAAAGCACCCCAAGGTGGAGGAGGAAGCCTCCACCATCAGGGCTCCAAGAACTCTCCAGTCTTCTAAGCAGGGTGCCTGAAGGGGCCAGCAGAGGCTACACCCCTTACTCTGTATTAACAAGATGCCTCTTCCACCTGTGCTGTACTGCACCCAGGACCAAACACCTTTCAGGTTTTCAGGGCAGCAAGAACCATACTCCAAGCAAAGGATGGCATGACGACCATTAGGCCTGATGTTGGAAACATATTTTGCACCCAGAACTTGAAATCAGGTTTTAGAGGTAATGCTTTTGGACCAAAAAAAAAAAAAAAGAAGAATTTTCCATCATGGTTCTTGTTCCTTGGGGAGAAAAAAAAAGAGAAAGGAAGTCCTGCAATATGGAAAGGACCGTGTCACCCATACCAGGACTATGAACCTGCTTTGGGATTTTTCTCATTTGAATGTTCTTGCATTTGCTTTGTTTTAATTTTTTAAGTAGAACTTATCACATTGCAAGATTCTACAAACATAAAGTTAACCAAACAAGTAGCAGGTCCATCTCTGCCAGCTCCACACATTCACTGCAGCCCCTCTCGGTCCCTCTGGTCCCCTTGACAGTCATAGGCTCTGCACCCCACAAGGGTATTTTCCTCAGTCCCATCAATTACATTTGGACTTCATGAATTCCATGGAAAAAACTCCATGGGGCAGGGTGAACTCTGTGTGTTTTCAACATGGCTTTCCCTCATCTTGACTTTTCTTACAGCCAGACTCTGGAGCAGCTTTATCCAGAGAAAGAAGGAGGAATGTGTAATGCAATATTAATCTGCGCCTCCTCGTGTGTCCTTGGGGCCCTGCAGGCTGCCTTGGCAGGAGAAATCCTCCCAGGCTTTCTTTCGCCTGAGAGGTAGAAGTAAATCACTGTTTAAAAGTGTGTTTAAAGTCATGTTTAAAGCAAATAAACAGAAAAAGAAAAGGTTTTATATTTTATTAATTTTTAAGGGAGAGAAGAGGAGGAAGCCCAACACTGGGAATCAAAATTAAGTGAAATCTTTAAAGACAACACACACATACACACACCACCACCACCAGATCTTCCCTGGCCAGCTCATTATGAGACAGAAAAGGAACACTAAGGAAGATTCTTGGGGAAGTGAGGGCACCATCACCTCTACAGTCCGACTAAAACATCCAGGCTGATTTAATGCACAACATGCCTAAACAACAACTAAACTAAATGTGATCACTCATACAATTTGAATCAGTAAAAACTGGCAGGAAAGGGGAACAAGTTATTGGCCTCGGAGTTAACAGGTCTAATGTAAATGTAAGATTTAGAAATCACTTTCCTGGAAAAGGAACAACTGCCTTTCCTATAACAGAAGTTGCTGTGACTTAGGCATCTGCCTTTGGGAGGAAAAAAAAATCTTTTGAGTCATTTCTTAATATCAGGCTTATCCTTAATAACAAAGTGCTGGCCAAAACTGTATATGTCCAAGTATGTGAGCAGAAACCAGACTAATGTATGCAAATACAAGACCCAGCTTTTAAAATCCAGTTTTAATTTGAAAGAATAAAGGGCAAATGGAGTGTATCACAGTGCTTATTCTCATTCAAAAGGTTCAGTTTTTGTCCTGGAGCCACTAGCTATAAAGTTTTGAGGACTATTAGTTTGGTCTGTCTCAGCCTGACTCCTACACACACACACACACACACACACACACACAACTTGCTCCTAGCTCTACCCTCAGCTGAGAGTCAATGGCCAGAAAGTCTCAGGGGAAGTCATGTGGGGCTCCCTCATACCCAGGGGCTGCAGTCTTGAAAGGAATGTGTGCCCTCTCAGGAGGACACTTCCCACCAAAATCACTGAGAAGAGAACAAGTCCACAGTCCCACTCTTGACTGACTGCCTCACAGCTTTTCTGTGTTGGTTCAGTAAAGAACTGGTCTTAGGAAAGTGACTACCTGAGCCCAGAGCAAGAAGGAGAAGACAAGCAGAACAGCAGCCACAGGGTAAAAGGCATTCAGAAGTCAACAATGGCCAGGCATCCCTCTGCCACAGCCTTTTTGGAAGGTTGGGTTGGAGGATTCTTTTTCTCTCATTAGCAGGCCCTACCTCATCTAGCCCCCCCACCTCCACCTCATCCTTAAGCATCATCTACTTTGCAAAACGCTATTCCTCCAGGGGTCTCCACTTTATGTCCACCTTCAGTCTCAGAAAGAGGCAATCATTTGTGGCCATGGGGAATGGATTCAGTCCAAGCAAAACTGACCACAACCTCTCAAGCATTGCAGGACTGGGATAAACCCCCAGCTGGCTGAGGAAAAGAAGAAGGAAAACCCTGCCGGCTACAGGGGATGGTTCTACACCAACAGAGCTAAAGGGCTTTGCTCTGGGTAACTGCTCAGCTCTTGCTCTCAAAGAGCTATACCCCACTGCACAAGATTAACCCTGAGAACAGAGGTGCCAGAAGTCAACATTTCAGGCAGGTTGACTCCTATTCTTCTTCCCACCCCCAGCGCCGGGGCCAGTGGTGTGGACTAGAGCCCATGCCACCCAATGTTGGTCACTTTGGACCCATCTTCCTCCCTAGAATAAACAAGAGTATTCAAACTTTGGGGCAGCCCTCTTCCCACATCTCTTCCAAAGTGAGGTGACCACTCACCCCTCTTTTTATCATCAACAACAGAGGTAAATAATACTGAATACTTCAAGATAAGCTAAATTCTCCCCACTCCTCAAGGAGCCCTCAAGATGCTGGCCCCTGTGCTAAGCATACCTGGGGCATAGCTCCCCCATCCTAGATTATCTGAGCCTTAACTCTGCTTTAGAAGAATTCAGGGTTGGATTCACTCTTATAAAAGGCCCAAGGCTGGGTTTTGTTTGTTTGTTTGTTTGTTGTGGGGTTTTTGGTTGGTGTCCCCCCACACACACCAAAGGGGAAAAAAAAAACTTTTTTTGTTCCCATTAGAAAACTGTCCTTTAAACGGGAGGGGTCTCTGAGAGGAACCTCAGGTCCCTGGAGCTGTTAAGAATTTACAAAGCCCAATTTGCAGCACCCACTCCCCGTGGAGGAGATGAACAATGAGCTAATTACATTTTTATCTTTCTAATTACCTGAGGATTTGTGTAAATGAGAGAAGCAGGGGGTATGCAAGGATGATGGAGAAGAGATTTTCTACTTCCTAAACCTCCCAGATTCGGAGCTGTTACCTGAAATGTGGTGAAGAAACAGAAATCTCCAGTTTCCAAACTTTTTTTTTTCTTAGCCAGTTCTACAACAGCCCTAGGATTACTTGACTGAATCACCAGCTAAGGAAAGAAGTTTTTGTTTGAATCCTCTTGGAACCTATGAAAATAAAGCTGCACCTAGCATTCTCCCAACCTTTCTGGGCTTTCTACATTTGAGTTTGGGGGTTTCCTACCCAATTTCCTGATTAGGATGTTAAAAACTTTGGATGGGGGCTTGGTACCCTCCCAAAAGAAAGTAGACCTCTCCTTTTTACTGGAAGGGTAATGCTTTGTTTCAGGTATGGAAAAAGAGACTGAATCCCAAGAAGAGCTGCTTCAGGGACTGGACCAAGCCTCTGCGGAGTCTGAGGCCCAGAGCCACCGCTCCTAAGCAAGCCACACCGGGCACCTGGGTCTCGAGAGACCAGAGCGACACTTCGGGCAGAATAGGCGCTTTTAAGAGTCAGTAGGCATACCTTCAGAGCAACGTCTAGCAGCACATCTCAACTACAGGGAGGAATGGTGGGACGGGGTGAGCTAACAAGGGCTCTAACGTCGCCCCCGCTTAAGTCCTGGAGGATCCCGCGGATAGCGCCCGCTCAGGACACCGGGCTCAAGGGAAGGAACGCCCTTACCTTGAGGCTTGGAGGCTTCGGTGGCATTGGGCGGGGTCATAGCGATACAGACGTCTCCTTCGGGGAACTTGTCACACTTGAGCATCTCTGGCCAGTAGAAGCCGAAGAACTGCATGACCGGCTCGCACGAATCGCGCACGGCCTCGCAGAGCCAGCGGCACGGGTAAATGGGCCGGTCGAGGCAGACGGGCGCGAAGAGAGAACAGAGGAAGACCTGGGTGCCGATGTGGCAGTTCTTGTTAAGCAGGGGCACCCAGCTGCTAGCCTGCTGTTTCACCTCGGCCATGGTCTCGTGCTCCAGCAGGTTAGGCAGCACCATCTTCTTGTAGCCCACGTTGTGGCACAGCCGCAGGTCCACTGGGATGTCCACGCACTGAGGCGGCTTGGTGTAGAAGCGCCCGCTCTGGTACGAGCCGATGTCCGACTGGAAGCTCACATAGTCGTACTCGCTGGCCGTGCCCGCGGCCAGAAGCCCCGCGGCCAGCGCCAGCAACACGCCGGAGGCTGCCCAGCGGCGGCCCCCTGCGCCGTGCCCGCTGCCCATGCTGGCTCAGAGCACTAGCTGCCGCGACGTCGGGGCTGCCTGCGCTACCTTCACGCGCGCGTCCCGCCGCAAACTTTCCGGATCTCCAGGGACAAAAGGAGCCGTCCCCAGCCCTGCCCAGCACCGAAGCCGCGCGCTCCTGCCTGGTCTCCAGCCGAGGCGGCCCTCTGCCTGCCGTAGGCGCTGTGGCGGGAGTTCTCACCGGGAGCGAAGCGCAGCGCGGCGGACCAAGTGCGGTCCCGGCTCCCAGGAGGCGCAGCGGACTGCAGGCGGGCGCGCGACACCTCCTCCCTAAGCCGCAGGACTCGAGTGCGCCGTGCTCCAGTGGCCAAGCCCTCAGAGTCTTCCCGCGCAGCCAATCAGCTCCCGGCTGCCGCGAGCCGCACTCATTACCCTGTCAGTCACCAGCACAATTAACCAATCGCTTCACGGGCGAAAGGATTTGGTTTATTAGAACTAGACATAGGTCAACACCCCTTAAAAAGCAAAACCAAAAAATTAAATAAATAAATAAAAGAAGAAGGAAAGACGAAAGAAAAGAAAAAAAGGAAAAGTAAAGAAAGTAGGGTGGGGGTATACACAGAAGTGCGTAGTGGATAAAGAGAATGTTTAGTTCTGTAGTTAACTTGGGCCAGTTTGGGGAAAAGCAAAGAACCTTAATGGGTCTTACAAATTCATGAGATTACAATTTTTTTTTAATGCCTTTTCCTAATTTTCTAACAACTCACCAGACTAGCGGCTCTGCTCCAAGGTTTTGTTCTCTGTAGCAACAACATAAAGACCGGTCTTTTCTGGGCTGAGAATTGGGAAGGCTGAAGTTGAGGGGTGGGGGCTGCTTTTAAATCCCCAGTGTGTTCAGTTGGGCCCCCGTGAAGATGAGAAGGTGGCATTTGGTGTTTGCTGCATTTAAAATGCAGTATCTTCCCTGGTGGGACAACAGGATGGTGGTCCTCAACAGCACCCCCAGCAATGGGTAAAAGTTGCTCAGTATGGTGGGAAATATTGCTCACAAAATTGTTAGCTTCGAGAGGACAATTTTTTTAAGTTTTAAAATGAAGTTTAAAAACCCTATTCAAGCCCCAACCCAGCTGACAGCATGTCTATGTGTGCAGGCATATACACAGTGACATGTTTGTGGTGTCGAAAGTCAAAACATTAAAAACACATGTGCACCTATCATTGTGGCTTGTGTAAATAACAAGTCATGGCTTCGGCACACATGCTACATTCAGACCCAGTCAAGGAAGCTTAGGTCAAAACCAAAGGTCCCCCACGAAGGCAGTAGCCGAGAGAACAGTCTGAACAGAAACACGCTGTGCTAGTCCCCAAGAACAGAGTCTTGGGCTGGGGCTGTAGCTCAGTGGCAGAGGGTTTGCCTCCCACATGTGAGGCACTGGGTTGGATCCTCAGCACCACATAAAAATAAACAAATAAAATAAAGACATGCTGTCCACCTACAACTACAAAAAAAAAAAAAATTCCCAGAGTCTTGCTGCCTTCCTCCACCTCCAAGTTCCTGGATATTCTTTGTATGTTTCAAACATTCCCCTGATAATAGTCAAGCTCCATAACTGAGAGGGTGAGCGTAAATGATCCCAGGGGCAGAAGACAACGGTAAACATTTTGTGAAGTTCACTGGTCTCCTTGTCAGTGTCCTTAAGTGTGGGAAGAGGGAAGCTGATGATGCTAAAAATCATAATGAGCAAAGGGATGCTACCCCATGTGGCAAGTGAGCTTCAGATTTTAGCTCTCAAGACAGAGCACCATATGAGGGGCTGCCTTGCTGGGCCAGCTTGTTTGTAAAGCTCTCAGGGAAACTTGCTTTGGACTCTGCAGACCTAATGGACAGATTCCAAGTAAAACAACTAGAGTTTGTGAAGAAGCAGGGCTATTTTCTTAAAGGAAACATGCCCATACAGAGGTTGTATTTACATGATGTACTCAGGAAGCATCTGTGGATGGTCAACTTTGCTGTTCTCTCTAGGACAATAAAAGCTGACCCAAAGCCAGAGGGGCAGAATAGGGGGAAAGACAGGGAGAATACAGAGCAACACTTTGGATGCCCAAGGGTTAATCCCAAGACAATTAGTAATGCTCAGCCTGAGGAGCTATGGAAGACATTCCTCACAGAGAATAGACCGCAGGAGACCAGGCAACTGTGTCTCAATTCAAGGGGCATTTAGAGAAAAATGCTGTTTGGTAGGGGGTCCTTTTCTCTCCTCAGGACAGGCTCTCAGTTCTGAGCCAAATGTGTCTGTTTACTTACTCACTGGAAAGATTGGTGTTTGTAGATAACATCCTCTCACCCTGAATCCAGACTAAGCTGACAGCCACATCGCCCCCACACACTATTGACACAATTTTCCCAAATGGTAGGAGGACTTTCATCAATCAGCCATTAAAATTCTGGAGACCCAGAGAAAATTCGTTCTGGAAATTCATCCAGGTAACTGCCTCCACCAACCCTGAAGTCTCTCAATGCAGGAGTTGCTGTTACATATCCATTCATGGGAAAGCCCAGCATGGATCTGGTCACCCACATTGACACTGATCACCCCAGTGCCCAACCCTCTTACCTCATCTCCTGAGGTCTTCCTACTTCAGATATGAGTCTCGCAGGGCTCTGCCTGGGACACAGTTGTCTCTAGGTCACATAGGGAGTATTAGTATTAGTAGACACCAGAATTCTAATTCCAGTACATTTCTGGTTCCTTATAAGACTCAACTGAAAAGAGAGAACTGTAAGTTCCATTATTAGAACAGACTCTAATCCATTCCCAGGATTTGAACTACTGTCAAGTTCATATGCTGTATGTAGCACCCAGTGGAATAGGCTGATGCCTTTTTGTGATTTAGAGGTGCATACGGTATTTTTGTCCTTTTTAACAGTATCAGAACTTTACACTTTGAATCCAGTCTTCCTTTCTCTAATGGTGTGTGTGTGCGTGTGCACATGCACACACAGGAGAAAGTTCTAGAACAAAGACTAGAAGTTCTAGAACAAAGACTCAGTTCTAGAACAAAAACATGCTATCGACTTGACACACATCTCCTAGAAACCATGGTTCTTGAGTATGAGAACTGTGGGACAAGAGAAACTCAGGCTTCCCTGTTTCTCCAATAGTTTAAATGAACCAGGGAAAAATAAAGTTTAAAACTTAAATTTCTCATTTTGAAAAAGTTCTGATTTTCCCACACTTCAAGTTTGCAGTAGATGAACATTGGAAGTGCATTCTCTGTTGCTTCACAGAACCAGCTTAAGGAGGTATTCTTAGTCTCCCATCGCTTGAAGCTGATTATCCAGTCAAGCAGGGTCACCAGGAGCCTCCCGGTGCCAATCTGGTGGCCTCTTCTTGAATAAAACTGAGAGGGGAGGAGCCTTCCCAGCCCATTGCTCCTATTCTATTCTATTATCATATCATCAGTGACTTTTGAACACTCTCCAAAGATACACTCAGCATCCGCTCCATCAGCCAGCAGCATTACACCAGGACAAAGGGGCTTCTGCCTGTGGCCAGGGATCAGGGTTGCGGGGTGGAGTGCGGGGACGTGGGTCTGGCATAAGACAGAGAAAAGCATTCTGGCCCAGAGTCAGGAAACAGGAGGTATGGCCTCAGTTCTGCTCCTAAGAGGCTGGACAACTCTGAAGAAACACACTCCATCCCTCTGGCTTTAGAATTCTCCAAAACATAGCTATTCATGCCTGTTCTGCTGTCTCCTGAAATAATGGGTGTCAGTTCTCAGCATCTAGGCACACATAAGGTGCCCCATCGGGCTTTCAGTTATTTGAAAAGCTTAATTTGGTACAAGATGCCATGAAGCTCAGCGATGTTCTTAACTGGACATCTTTTCTATCCCACCATTGTGGTCAAGCAATCTCAAGCCCCCTGACTTGTTCAGGAACTGATCTGACCTGCTATTGGGCTTTGGGAATGTCTGGGAAGAATCTTAAAAAGTTGGAGTGGAAGGCAAACTCCAATCCACCTCTTCCTATGTAAGTGTTCCTCTGTCCCATTTTTGATGGAGGATAGCTTAGCATCACAGCTGCCATCACTGGACCCTTTTGCTTCTTTAGGACATGGACACCACATTGGAGCAATCCACCAGAATGTTCTTCCTTCCCTGGAGAGAAACTGTACCCTGTAATGGCTACTCATGAGACTATCCATGCATTGGTTCCTACTCTCATCTACCAGAGTGGCCTTGAGAAAATGCGTTCAGCCATGCCCTTAATGGTGAGGCCATGATCACAGTTTCTGCTTCTCTGCTCAGATGGACATTTCAACCCACTCTCCAGATGACACTTTGTCAAACTGGGCTTGACAATTTTCATTCATTCATAAATATAGTCATTCACTTATAAATATATGTTCTATTATCATATCATCAGTGACTTTTGAACACTCTCCAAAGATACACTCAGCATCCGCTCCATCAGCCAGCAGCATTATATTATCTTCCAGGAAGGAGAGATCTAAAAGTAAAAGATATAATTTTAACATGATTTGTAAACTAAAAACAAAGCTATCTAACTGGCTACTTCTCAGATTCAAACCCTCATAGACTCTTGGACGGTTCCACAGGACAAAGCCCAAACTCCAGTAGGATTTCAGGATCTTACTCTCCAAAGTCTCTCCGCCACCTCTTACCATCCCAGTCTCCAGTCTCAAGGAAATACTTGCACTTCCCCAACCTACCTGCTTCTTTCTTGCTTCCCATCTTTTCTATGTACTATTCTTCCATATTGTTTTTTTCTGTCTCTAATACCCTCCATTTCCTTTATACAAACTTCTTCTCATAGAATTCATGAAATTAGCAAATAAAAATATAAGGTTCCCAATAAAATTTGAACTTCAGATAAGCAATGAAAAATTTACAGTATAAGAATGTCCCTTGCAATATTCAGGACACTCTTATACTAAAAATTTATTTCTTATTTATCTGGAATTCAAATTTTACAGAAGCCCTATATTTTTTCTGTTAAACTCACCTATTCCTCCTTCTAGCATGGCCTCCTCCAAGCAGACATGCCTGGTTTCCTCTGTGCCCATCACTTCCCTCCTCCATCCTTAGTCAAATTAATAGCCCTCTTTCCCCTGTGCTCAGAGCCTGTGCACACATCCCTATAGCACTCAATCTACATTTTATAACGGCTGACTTCTTAGTATATGCTATGTGACTGTGAGCTCTTAGAGAGCCAGGACCTTGACTTATTTGATCTGTTCCATGCCTGCATCCCCAGCATCTAGCCTATTGTATATATTGAATGTTCAATAAGTACATATAAATAAATATGTAGTAGA